GTTAGGATTATGTTTACTGTTAAATATTCAGAATGAAGTTCTTTACTCAAATAAATGCTTTGGTCATAATCTGACTGTTTAAAATAAGCTAACATCACTTTTCAGTATTATTGACATATAGATGCCCTGTGGTGCCTGATGCTCTTCCAGAATGTTTTGAGCAGTGGCAAGTCTTTGAAAAGCAAAAAACATTATTTTAACAGGTGCCTCAAATGTATCATGACACTTTCTGTGCAGGAGCTGGCTGTAGATGCTGGGAATTATGTGTATGAAATCAAACTGTATTAATTGCATGAAGTGTAGTTATGTTGAATGAGGTAGAAATTATGGAGGGACTATTAGGAACATCCTAGTGAAGCTGTAGTTTTGATGGGAAGACAACTGGAACATAGAGTTAAGATCAAAGGAAAGATGCACTCAGCCTGCCTTATCTTCCTGTTTTCTGCATTGTCTTAAACATGTTTAGATACTTGTTGATATAGGATTGTCAGTACTAAGATGGGCTACATAGTACAGTACAAGTTGCGGGGTGATTGGTAGGTAAGTCTTGCACAGGAATCTGTGCTGGTGAAAGGGAAAGTCAGTCCTACATACGATTCTTCAAGTCCTCAGATACAGTAGTAGGGCATGCACGAAGTAATCTTGTGTTTCCTCCACAAGACATGTGAAATTCACATTCAAAGCATTTTTTTTCTAAGAGGAATAGTATTTCAAGGTTTTTTTAAAAAATGTTTTCTCTAAATTTAATTTAAATTCAATTAAATACAATTAAAATCAGAGGCTGAAAATTAGAGCTTTGATCTGAGAGAACAGTGAATTACAACTGTTTCAGTTTGCTCATGCCCATTTCAGCTGCCATACCACTTACAGGTACACCACTCCAGGAAGCCATTAAGCCACAAAACTTGGATCTTTTATCAACAAAAGCATTTTAATTTTTCTACCCAAATCAGCTGTTCCAATCAATTGTTTATTGATCATTTGATTTGCCTGTTCCTAAGATAACACAATTTTCATATTTAGTTGTTAAGAATTTTCATACACATCAACGGGGCACTTTTGGGACCAGCATAAATGAACTGGAAAATGGATTCCTCAGTAGCAGTTACCTAATACTTATCTTCATGGAAGTTAATTGAGCAGATAAGCCTCCCCTTCTATTTCTTGTAGTCTTCAGTTGTCAAACAGCTTTTCTTAAGGAAGAGCCTAGATGTTAGCACTGGCAGTCACAGCCAAAAGTGATAGAAGGACAGAGGGCTTTTCTGTGTCTTGGAAAGGAAGTCTCAGCCTACACTGAAATAGCAATGGCTTCAAAAGTACAGGAAATAAGGAAAAAAATAATGTGAGCCTTTTCTCTGTTTACTGAGGGAGCTGTACACAGCAAGTGTGTCTTTTATAGGAGAAAGTGACTTCTAAAGATAAATAAATTCATATTCACATTAGCATGAAATGGAAAAAACCTGTTATCTACATGCACAGAAGGGGAATATGAGGCACAGGCAGGTTAAAACAGCCTATAGTCATACAGGAAAGCTGAGACAGAATAAGAAATGGGATACAAAACTTGCCAGTCATTTCCTATGATCTCCTTACTTACCTCATTTCCCCCATAATGGGGGCTGGGAATTAATTTAATTCCACATCTTAATACTAGGACCTCATGCAGGGGAAGAGTGGAGAAGTGTTCAGAACTGTTGTGCTTCCCTGAATAACACTATCTCTGAGACAAATCCTAAAACGCTGGAGTGTCTTAAAATGACTAAAATGATTCAACTTCATTAGGATTAAATGTTCTGAAGACTTCATGATGCAAAGTGTGTGAAATAATTTGGAGATGAAAAGGGAACAGTTTCCAGTTTGAAGAGATTTATTTTGAGTCTTAAGACAATCTTGTATTATTTCTTGACATACAACTTGTGATCTATCAGCATGAAAGGCTCCAGAATATAAGAAAATTGAATCTTAATTAGTATGTTGATGGAAAGTTATAAATGCATACTCCTTGCTCATCTGTACTGAATTTGATTTGACAGCATTTTAAAGTAATTATTAGAATTTGGGTTTTTTGGTTTTGTAGTTTTTCTTTTGGTTGTTTTTTTGTGTTTTTTTTTTTTTGTTTGTTTTTTTGGTTGGTTGGTTGGTTGGTTTTTGGTTGTTTTGTTTTGTTTTGTTTTTACTTTTACAGTATTATGTCAGTATTTCCCAGATTTTGGTTCGCAAGCAATATATTTCTCACAAGATCTGAAAATAGCACTTGTCGCCACACTAATCACCTGTCCTTGCAGCCCACACTGACAGGAAGTGCCATTAGGATCTTGCCTTTATAATGTTACTTGCTCCACAGCTTCCCAAGGGTCAAGTAAAAGTTGAAGGCAACTTATTCATAGGGATAAAACTGTTCGAAAAAAATAGCTCTAGTCTGGATTTGGGGAGGATAATTGTGGTGGGTTGACCTTGGCTTCCTGCCAGACACCCATGTAGCTGCTCTCTCACTCCCCTTCTCAACTTGACAGGGGAGAAAATAAGATGGCAAAGCTGATGGGTCAAGATTAAAGACAAGGAGATCACTTACGAGTCACCATCATGGGCAAAACTGACTGGACATGGGGAAAATTAATTTGGTTTATTGCCAATTTAAAAAATAGAGTTACATGGTGAGAAACAAAGACAAAACTAAACCTACTTCCCTCCAACCCTTCTTCCCAGTCTCAGCTTCACTTCCTCACTCCCAACTCTTCCAGCTCCTCCGCACCAAGCAGAGTAGGGGGACAGGGAATAGGGGTTGTGGTCAGTCCACTACCATTCCTCTCAGCTGCTCTTTCCTCCTCAAACTTCCCCCCTGCTCCAGCATGGAGTTCCTCCCACAAGATACAGTCCTTCATGAACTTCTTCAAAGTGGGTCCTTCCCATGTGTTGCAGCTCTTCAAGAACTGTTCCAGTGGGATGTTCTCCGCAGGGTGCAGTCCTTCAGCAAAGGACTACTCCAGCATGAGTCCCCTACAAGCAACAGTTCCTGCCAGGAAACCTGCTCCTGCACAGGCTTCTCTGCACAGACTTCAGGTCCTTACAGGAGCCTACTCCAGTGTGGGCTCCTAGGTCCGGAGGCTGCACAGGCTGTGGCTTCCTTCAGGGCATCTCTGTCTGCTCTGGCACGAGATCTTCCACAGGCTGCAGAGTGGCTATGTGCTTCACTGTGGACTTCTATGGGCTCCACTATGGACCTCTACGGGCTGCAAGTGGACAGTATGCATGAGCATGGTCTTCTCTGGGGGCTGCAGGGGAATCTCTGCTCCAGCACCAGAAGTACCTCCTCTCCCTCGTTCTTCACTGAACTTGGTGTCTGCTGGACTCTTTCTCCCACATTTTTCTCACTCCTCTCTCTCACATCTGCTGTGCAGCACTTTTTCCCTTATTTAAATATGCTATTACTCAGTCACCACCATCTTGGCTGAGGGGCTTAGCTGTGCCCTGCAGTGGGTCCACTGGAGATGGATGGAATCTGTTTTGTCTGTCATAGGGCAGTGCCAGCATGTCCTCACAGAGGCCACACCTGCAGCCTCCTTTACCACTGCCTGGGCATGGGCACCTGATGCAGTAGTGCAGTGCTTGATGGAGAACCTTTTGGTTTCTCTGTTAGAAGTTAGAGGCTGCTCTATATGTTTTGTGGATATAACTCATGAAACTATCATAAAAACCCATTTAGAATAGAATAGAATAGTTCAGTTGGAAGGTACCTACAATGATCATCAAGTCCGACTGCCTGGCCACTTCAGGGATGAACAAAAGTGAGAGCAAGTTATTAAGGGTATTGTCCAAATGCCTCTTAAACACTGACAGGCTTGGGGCATTGACCACCTCTCTAGGAAGCTAGGTCCAGAATTTGACCACCCTTTCAGTAAAGAAATGCTTCCTAATGTCCAGTCTGAACTTCCCTCTATGGCACAGCTCTGAGCCATTTCTAGGCATCCTGTCACTGGATCCCAGGGAGAAGAGCTCAGCACCTCCCTCTCCACTTCCCCCCCCCCCCCCGGAAGCTGTAGAGAGCAATGAGGTCACCCCTCAGCCTCCTTTTCTTCAAACCAGACAAACCCAAAGTCCTCAGCCCCTCCTCACAGGACATGCCTTCCAGCCCTTCCACCAGCTTTGTTTCCCTCCCCTGGACACGTTCAAGGACCTTCACATCCTTCTGAAATTATGGGGCCCAGAACCACCCACAGCACTCAAGGTGAGGCCGCCCCAACGCTGAATACAGTGGGATAATCACCTCTTTTGACCGGCTGGCTACGCTGTGTTTGATGCACCCCAGGAGGCAGAGGTTTGCCCTCTGGGCTGCCAGGGCACACTGCTGGCTCACACTGAGCCTGCTCTCGCCCAGCACCCCCGGACACCTTTCTGCGGGGCTGAGCTCCAGCTGCTTCTCTCCCAGTTTGTACTTGTGCCCAGCATTATTCCTTCCCAAGTGCAGAGTCCAGCATTTGTTCTTGTGAAATGTCATGCCAAGGATGATTGCCCAACACTCCAGTCTATCTGGATCTGTCTGCAAGGACTCTCGTCCCTCAAGAGAGTCAACGGTACATCTCAGTTTGGTATCATCGGTAAACTTGTTAATGCTGCATATAACTCCTACATCCAAGTCATTGGTAAATATATTGAACAGAACTGGCCCTAGAATTGAGGCCCATTCACTACAACTCTTTGAGCCCTGCCCTTCAGCCAGTTCATCATGCAGCATGATGTGAACCTGCTTGTCTCACAGTTCAAATGATTGCTGTGAGGAACAGTATCAAAAGCCTTTACATAGCTAAAGATATTGTCTTGCAGCATATACCCTTTTATGAATATTTCTTCAGTATCTTTAATACTCATACCCTTTAAGCCAGAGAAGACAATCTGCAAATCAAGCAAATTACAGTTGAGTACATTACTCTTTTGCAGTGCTCACAGCTAATTGCTCTGGTGGTAAGCTTTTCTTTTTAGTATTTGTGTAGCTGTATTGCTGCTTATTCATCCAGGGTCTGCTGAATAAGTGCTTGACAGCTGGGCATGTTTAACGGGGTTGTTGGGTAGCCATGAAGAAGGTGGCTTCTTTGCTCTGCCCAGGGCTGCTCCGTGCCTGAAGGGAAAACATCACAGTCTCCTTGAGGTTCTCTGCAGTATGAGCTGGGACAGGAGAAGACAACAACAGCCTACAGGGCAGGACCAGGTAGAGAGTGGTGACAAAGGGCAGACAGAAACACCAACTTTCCACACGGATTTTGAGAAGCCCAGAGTAATGAAAGACCATGGCAACTCAGGAGGCCCATAAAAGCTTTTCACCTCAAGATAAGCCTAAATGAATGGACTGACTTGCCAGGACAGTGGACAAGGCAAGGAAAGATTTGTGTATGAATCCTTCAGTTTCTGTCTGTCTTCATTTGCTCCAAGTTTTCTAAAAGCTTTACTCTATCCTAGTTTGTGTTCAAATGAAAGACAACCTTAGACATTCAAAGCCACTTTGTTGCACAGGTGGAACCACTCCAAAATTCTCATTAACTCAGGTTCCCATTATAATTTGCATTTACATGTATAGGTTATATACTAGCTGCTTCTGCCATCTTGCTGAGTCACAGTGCTTTCAAAAAAGGCAATAATGTTCTTTGCTTAACATGCATTTATTATTTGTAGTCCATTTCCTGAGTATTTTGTACAGTGTTTTGAAGGGACTTGTTACTGAGGATAGGGATATCATTAGTGAACATACCATCTGAAAATAACTGAATAGGATGATCTCATTTTATTTATAGCTTCATAGATGATAGGAGTTAACACCATAGGCCAGGGGCTAATGTCAAATTATTTTCTGCTACACTTAGTAACTTATAGTGAATTACAGTAGGGACATACACACTAGAAAAACAAACAAACCCCCTCCCAAATATCACATTAAGTCTTCTCCTTATATTACAGCTTTTAAAATCTTAATCTCTCTCTAGATAACAACAGAAAGGTAGAAGAAGAGAAAGAACCCAATACTTGAGTCCCATTCCCGATCCAGACCCCATTGACTATAGTTGCTTGGTAACTCTGGTGCAGACCTGTGCACACAGCACAGCATTTTATTTTTTTTTTTCTTTCTGAGATGGCACTACAGTTAGCTTATACAGTTTACAGTACTTTCTTCCTTGCTCATATGAACCAGTTTTGGTGGTTGGGACAGATGCACACTTTTCCTCCTGAAATGCAAACTATATTTTGATGGTCACAGCAACTCCAGGAGCGTATCACACATGAGACAAGCTGAATGGTCAAAGGAGTACTAAGTGTGCATGAACTTTGCAATCACAGCAGATTCGTAGGCAACCTGCACTTGTGTGGGCCTGCCCAGCAAGGTCTGCCTCTGGCTATAAAATGAAGGTGCAAAATACTGCTTTGCTTTTTCTTTGTCATATTGGAAATATTAAATCTAAACCACAGATCTGAGAATTGGTTTCCTCTGGTTATATGACTTTGATACACCAACCAGAAATCCAAGTGCCTGACATTGGATGCAAACATTTAGCTGCGGAAGTGATTTCAACTGAACAGCAACTTGTCATCAAATTTAGCATGTCTTGCTGTGTTATCATCAAAGCTAATCAGTAAAGATTGACTTCCACTCAGTTACTGAGAAAAATATCAAAATCCTGGGCCAATATATATTTCCTGATAAATCTATGTAGCCTGTTCAGTGACCTCACATCTTTGACACCATTTTAAGGTCTGCCAGAAAGAATTTTTAATCCAATTGAATGTTTTTCTAGCTTGCAGTAAGTATTAGTAGGACATATGTAAAGGGATTATGAAATATCATTAACAGATACAATATTGTGCTAAGTAGGTGAAGTATAAAATGATACTAAATAAAGTGTCTGCAAAAATCCAGGTCTACAATAATCCACACACTGTCAACCTGTTGTACGTGTTTCTGACAGAACGGCAGGTTTCATCTTACACTGAAATTATTTTGATCAGATTTGGTTGTTTCTTGGCTTCTTTCTTCGCATTCTTCAATCATACTGTCCTACCTCTCAGATGCCAGTCCTGGGACTAGGTGCAATTCTGTATTTAACTGGCTTTTCCATTCTTAATGAATATTACTGTTGTGATTATATCGAATTAAAGCTTTTAATGTTTTTCTAAAACAGCAAAGGATATGGGATTATTCTATCTGTCCACAATATCATTCTTTACAGCTATAATATCCAACATTGTTCCAAATACAGAGCAGAACCTTCTACTTTTTCTACATTGCCATCTATAGCTTCACCATCTTAATCTTATTGTCAATTATCTGTTACCAAAGCAAAGCTCTTATTAACTTTGTTATGCTGCTGCATGCATATGATGCATATAAAGTACAATAGTTTGCCCAGAACTGGTTTTTGCTGGGTCCTTTCATTGTGCTGAGCATTTCAGAGGTAAGTCATTGAAACATTACAAGATCCCACCTACATGAAAATCTTTAGCTCTTTGGCATTAACTCTGAAAGCTTTGGATGTAATATCCTATGCCACCTGCATGGGATACTGTACTCTGGTGCAGCCAGTGCCTAAAGGCAAGGTCACATTTGTGTTTCATAGTGTCAAAGGTGCTAGGTCCTGAATACAGTTGTATTGTCCCATGTCTGTCAGGCAGTGCTCAGCAAGTTACATTGATGTTTCCACCAGTTAAGCTATAAAAGCCAAACCTTCACAAAATGAACTGACAGGGGTCTCTATCATGATCTGAATATAGGACTTAAGGAAACTTAATTAATTGTTTCTTTTATTGTAGTGGCCATTGGTATGCATTTAGTTTTCCTCATTAAGAACTTGTGTTTACCTTGTAACTTTATATTCACTCACATTTAATTGCCATGCGTCCTGGGTTTGAGTGAGAGGTGGGTTTTTTTGGTAGCAGGGGAGGGGGATATAGGGGTGGCCCCCCATGAGAAGCTTCTTGATGCTCTCCAGCCTCCAAGTCAGCTCCACCTCTGCACCAAAACTGAGCCAATCAGCTGTGCCTCTGCGATAATGTATTTAAGAAAGGACGTGGTGACGTGCAGTGGGACTTGTGAGGAGGAGTTGCTGCATCTGCGTGAACACCAAGGTCAGTGGAGGAACGGAGGAAGAAAGGAGGGGGGAGGTGTGCCGGAGCAGAGACCCCCCTGTATCCTGTGGGGAGACGGCAGGGCAGCCCCCCCTGCCACCCATGAAGATCTGCGGTGGAGCAGACACTGATTTATGGCCTGTGTTTTGCCTGGTTGATCAAGGTTCTGTGCCCAAAGAAGGCCAGGGTCTTGTGGGAAAAGGTAGCCCCGCTGCTGTAACTCAGCGCTGGGAGGATTGCAGCATGCGGCGGAGTCCCACGCCGGAGCAGCTCGGGAAGGGCTGCAGCCGTGGGAGAGAATCCAGTCGGAGGAAGCTGGTGACCCACAATGGAGCAGTGTGGGGAACGCTGCGGCCCATGGGAGGAACTCACATTGGACTAAGTTTGTGGAGAACTGTCTCCTGTGAGAGGGGGACCATGATCGAACAGGGGGAAGAAGTTCCAGAAGCTTCCCCCCACCAAAGATGGACGAAGCGGCACCACTGACTGCACCCCCCATTCCCTGCCCCTGCGCCACTGGGGGAGGAGGTAGAGATATCGGGAGCAGAGCTGAGCCTGGGAAGAAGGGAGGGGTGAGGGAAAGGTGTTCTCAAGATGTGGCAATGCTTCTCACTGTCCTCCTCTGTTAAGTGTTGTTGTTAGTGTCTGTAATAGATCTATGTTCTTATTTTTTTTCTTCCCCTAATGAGTCTGCCTTTTTCTAGTGACCATAATGGGTGATTTGCCCCTCCTGGTCCTATCTTGAATCCCAAGCTTGGCTCATTTGTCCCTTCTCATCACTGGAAGAGAAGGGAGGAGTGAGCGATTGCATGGTGTTTGGCTGCTGACCAGGCTCAAACCACACCACCATGTTTTATACTATATTTAAAAGCACATTCATTGTGAAAAATGCTTTATCACCACATCTAAATTAAATGACTTGTTGCAATTTATTGTGTAACTTATGTTTATGGAATAATGGCTTTTGGTATTCAGTAACGTATCTTTCAAGAGAATTTCTAGTTTTCATTAGTACTTTTCTTGTTTTTAGTTTAAAAGAATTTCAAATCATTATAATGGTTGCTTTAAGCCTAGTTGTGTTTTTAGAAGATTCGAACTTGTTTTTTGCATGCTAGCTCTGCATCCTACGTACAGAATATATAAAATTAAATTACCATCATTGGCACTACAGGCAACTGCTAATTTTTACTTTAACTGGATTTCTGCATACATCTGATAAGGTGTTACTACATGCAAAAGAAGAGACTTTTGGTGTTTAACAGGAAAAACCCTTTATGTTTAGAAATTCTCAAACAGGTTTGTTACTGGCTGAATAAGAATATTTAAGAAGAACCCCTGAAATTGAAAAGGCCAGCTTTGAACTGTATTAAAGGTCAAACACGTGTGTCTACGACTGAATCCTGACCTCACTGCAATGAGTCAGAGATTTATTAGTAATTAGAAAATTTATTTCTTTTCTGTGATTTTGTTGCATGAAGGCTATCAGATTTATCTTAAACAAATGCTGCTTAGCAATTTAGAGAGATGACAATTTGTACCATAAGCTTATCCATAAATACGGAGTCCATACTCACTTAAAATTCAATGACAGCATTTTCTTCAGATACAGTGAGCTCAAGGTTAAAGCCATATTCTATAGCATAAGACATTTAGATGAGGCATTGGCAATTTAAAAAACATAAGAGAACATAAAATGTACAAGTGCCAGGATATAATAATATTGAGCCTTATTCTCAGGCAGCAACCACACTGAAGGTTATAATACCCTACAGATTTGAGGGGTTTTGTATATTGAGTAAGACCATCTTTAATTGATGATGGGTTAAAAAAAATATCAGTAGAAAAGTTTAGACTATTTGAATTATTTTAGAGTAAAAAAAAAAAAATGCTCTGCAAGACTCTGGGAAACCCTGGATTTGATTTCTACTTGTGTTTTCTTATAGCAGTCAAATCAGCAGCAGCATTTTTTCAGGAGTTTGCCAAGGACCTAATTACAACAGCACTTACTTTAAATTCCTGGAAAAATAATTAACCAGGAATTTGAAAATAAAAACACAAACCAAAAACCCAAACAAGAAAA